TTATTCAATTGTTCTATTTTTACTTGTATTTTATTTCACTATTATTTCATTTCAGGTTTATTTTGGTTAATATAATTGTTATTTTCAGCTATTCATTTTCAATTCTTCATTTTTAGTTGTTTCAGGGATTTCAAATCATTTTATATAGTAGAAAATGGAAGTCCGAACTAGTGAAATTGATCATGAAATATGTCATTCAACTGTTACCTTACTAGAGGTACATGGAGTGATGGGGCTCTATCTTGTTGAGAATGGAGCAGGTCTTCTTTCAAAATATTGTTTTCAACTGCCTCAACTTGAATTTCAGTAATGTTTGTTATTGTATGCAGTAAACTTTACAAAAAGAATTACTGGATACAGATTACCAAACAGAGAAAAATTTAAGAAGGCATTTTTATGATACTTTTTGAGTAATTATGTCCCTTAATAAAATAGACGGTTTTTAAAATTCTTTCAAACATTATAAAAGGGCTAAAATTTACATGTGATTCTTCTCAAAGCGACACCTTGTGTATATCATATTAATTTTTTGGGGACCTATAGTCTATTAATGTAACCACAATTTACAACATCTTGCACAAAACTCACCTATTTCAACAGCATGGAACATGAAAACTATTAGACTGGAATATTTAGAAATATTTTTCGATTGTTCAGTGATTCCTGATACCTTGACTTTTTGACTTCTGGCTGATAATTCTTAATAAAGTCAAGGCCTATTATGTTATTATGTCACATGTATGTTGATTGAACATTATTATGAAACAACTGTGATAGAGAATCAGGCGCTTTTTTACTACTTCCTGTCCATAGAGTTATATCAAGAACTCAATGATACCGAACACATTATGCAGCTCTATATAGTCATGCAGAATTCATGTAATTGAAATCTACGTTTCATTGTAGACATTTTTCTAAAGTATCTAAAAAAAACAATTCATTCAGGGCAGTTTTTCTTCACCTACACAGTAGGTTTATGAACTGACACTTTATCAGAAAACAACTACTCCCCTGGCTGATACCACGAAGGGCGTTGGATTATGTTCGACAACGTGAAATCGGGAAGAAGATTGGTCTGAACGAAATTTTCTTTTAGATAATTTATTTCTATTCATCCTTTAGAAACAAAATACCTGGGTTATCGCTGAATTCAGCATTGAGAAACCTTTCAAATGAGGTAATTTGCTAAAATATGTTTCTGGATTTTAAAATTATAATCGAACTATTTTGAAATGAGGAATTTACTCTATACTCTGAGGCCCTACTGTAGTATAACAATAACTAAAGAAGTATTTACTTTCACAGGCAAATCATAAGTCCCCAACAAACTACTACAGTAACACTCACATTAGCTGTTCGATATGGAACGTATCAAGATACAATAACATTTAAAGCCACCGTTGGATCGGAAGTGGTTGAGAAGAAAGTACTTGTGGATGTGGGCATGCAACCTTTAACAGACAACACGGGGCCTAGCTTGGAATACTCCTACCTCAGTGATTGCTCGAAAGTAGTTTTTGCCAATTGCGATCAGGGTACTTGGACTATTGAAGTCAAGGCAAGGGATACTGGTTCAGGTACAACAAAACGCTTCATGTTTTCAACAAAAGAAACTTTTCCTATATACTATAACTGCAATAACACTTCTCAAATTTTCAAAAGTATCTACAGGCAGAGGGGGCGATGGCAGATATGTTGCTTGTCGTTCCCGTTCAGCTATAAGACCCTGAAATAATTTGATTTTCTATTATGAGAAATCATCGACTTCGTGTTGATGTAGGACACTACCTTGCACTTAATGTATTACCTTGACACTACTGTTTTCAAATTTTTTTGATCAGATGTACTGATGAAATCTAAATTTATCAAAAACTACAAAATCATTTCATAAAAAAAGACCGAGATTCAATTTCCAAACTTTTACTAATTGTGGGTATCCATTTTTGGTAGGTCTCCTTCAAGTAAATTCAAATCCGAAAGGTCTCTACTTCAGTAACGGTTACACCACAGGAACCAAAGAAGAAGTAGTAGGATCTTACAGCGATTCCTGTTGCAATGCAGATTTGCAAGTGACTGCTGTTGATCGGATGAACAATCGTAGAACAATCACTGCCAATGCATATCGTAAGTGAATTGTTTATGGTTTATGTAATGTATGCCTGATTCTTTTTTAAATTTCAGATGCGTCATTGGGCCCTGGTCAAATATCTGCCATAGTGTTGGGAATAATATTGTTAATAATTATTATTATTCTCATAGTTTATTTTGTGAGGAAATGTCTGAAGAAAAAAGAAACGTTTGACCTTCCAACCTACCGAGGGGGTCGAATATGACAATTAATTCATTCCATATCAGATGAACAGAAGTTTTGGTAACAATATCGAGAAAAAATCAGACTGAGTGGTCAATGGAATAAAGATGCGTTTTTTTGTTAGCCTTCATTCTACAATTATGAAGCGTAGCTCTAAAAGTATGATACAAATCTCTACATTTCCAAAATATTGTTCATATCTACACATTCAAAAACGAACAAATAAAGTGTGTCTCATTTTTAAAAGTTCAATCAAAAACAATGTTGAAATTCATTTCATTTTATACTTGTACATAATCTGCTGACCATTTGTGAAAATATATTTTTTCCATACAGCTAAGATATGATATTTTTAACCTGGAGACAACCATTTTTCCAGTATGATAGAAATAGATTTTGGGTAAGTCAATACAGGGAGAAATACTTATTTTGCAACTTCATACAACTTCCATGAAATCACGTTATCATCAATAACAATTTGTTGTTATTTCGTCTGTGAATCAGAATCTAGATCTGATGTGTTTGAGGATTTCTGAGCCGTCAATAGCAGTATATTTCAATGTTAAGTAATGCTAGACTAGTATGATAATTGAAACTTTGGATAGATTTTTTTCACATATAAGAAATTTTGTGAGACAACTTTGAATCTTTTCAATTTAATTTAGATAATAATTAAACTAATGATAATTAAACTAACTGTCAGTATGTTAACTGATATTTCCTCGTTATCTGAACAATCTGAATCCTTCAAATTTTTTATCGCCTCCTCAATATCATAACAGAGTGAAAAAACAGAGATTTAGCAGTGTTCCCAAGACTACTATCAATATACTCAAAATCACTTATATTGATGTGGGCACTGTTGAGGTTCCACTTGCTAGATATAATTAAATTCATTGGCACAGTTCTCTTTCACCATAATGATGAGGAAAAGTGCAGACTGATAATGAAAATGTAAACACACTCACCATGAGACAATTTAATCACAGGTGGAGGTGGTTTCTCTTTGGCTGGAAGTAGAATAGCATTTTGTGAAAAATCTTCGAGAGTTCCTCCTGTTACGGAAACACTAAATAGTGGGTTTTTCACTTTCTTCTGGTGTTCATTCATAATTAACAGCTGTTCTCACCCCAAAACACAAATTAACATCAAGACGAACAGGTGTCAGAATACGCACCAGTGTTGCCAAAGATAATTTCACTAGGTAATCACCCCACAAGTGATTAGAAATTACAGTTTATTATATTACAAAACGGATGCAAAAATTGTATATCGTTATTGTCATGTATATATCTTCCATTTGTAGTGGCTGAAGTTTACTTCTGCTGAAAATTTCGTGGTCAGGCTCTATTCATAAAGAAAAATATATGACACCAGTGAAGTAAACGTTCAAGTGGATTCTCAAGACAAAGTGTGTTTTTTTGAATACTTTATAATGAATATTCATCAAGTACCGGCCAGTTCTATAAAATTCTCCAATGTTAGGGGCTCTTTGTGATTTTCCATTAATTTTCTTCCTCCTTTGACTCAAAAGTAACTCTTGAAAAAAAGCAGTGTTTCTAAAATCACCGCTATTGTAGTGCTACTGGTACAACACAGACGGATCATGAAATTTTTCACCAGAACTCAAAAGATCTTGAAAAGGATGGGCAACTTCAGTATTCAGGTTGAATATTATAAGATCAATCAACAAGAAAATAACTATACTGTGACACAGTGTATGGTAGTTTCCACATCGAAAATAATTAGGCACTTGACTTATCAACGACACGACAGTCATTCTATGGTTAGATATATGGGGTTTGAGAGTTTCGAAATTTGTGGGAATGTTTAAGTGGATTTACATAACATCTACCCCATTCACGCCAGTTAGAGGCCAGGTGAACCGAATATCCTCGTTGAAATAGGATTGCACCAATTATATGAAAGATATTTTGAAAAAATCAAAAGGTCTTCCGAATAGGAGGCGACTTAATAAAAAATTTAAATTGTTTCTATAATAAAAAAAATCGACAAAAAAGGTGTGGCAGCATTGCTTCGAGTAAGACCACTGCACCCCCTGACGAGCCACCTGTCAACTTTTATAGGAGGAGTCTGGATAAATGCGCCCGTTACTGTGCCCGAGTGGGAAGCAACGTCCAACCATATCCAAATTCCTGATTGCATCAAATATAAAGCTGTAGTGACCAAGACAAACCTAATACTTGTGCCATTGTCTGAGGATTCACTTGTTCGCATGCAGTGCTTCGCCAATTATGACCTGATCGTAGTGCCCTTACTCGTAACCGTAGTGCATCACCTCACATTAGTGTTTACACTCTAGTGCAGTTGGTCATTGCTTGTTAATTGACTTCAAATTACAGTTGTACTTTGTTTTAGCGCAAACCCAGGTGAGGTTTGGGTCCGACTCAGATACACTTCAGTGTGGGCCCCACCTGTAGTAGCAACATGATTCTGAAACTCCTGGCTGGATAGCCCTGACAGCTGAAGCCATTAATGGAAAAAGAAGAAGAAAGCAACGACCAATCACAGGTCCAATCTCAGAGCTGATAAATATCATTACTCTGAGCGTCCAATAAGAGAGAGAGTTTCGTCACAGTCTCTGCTGTGGTATCGTGGTTACGTCACAGAATATCGGAGTAACGTCTTTTCTTTCGTCACAGTTTAGTACACGTACACGTAGGGTTTGTCGCCGGTATGCTATCATCCACAATTGTGCGAATTTATAAAAAAGAGGGTTGGTGTTGGTATTTGCTGCATCTCACCATATAAACTTCTAAGCTTGGGAAATTTAGTTTGATGGATTACAATTATCGCAACAGCCCCGAAGATTACAAATGGCGATAAAGAAGTGTGAACACCAAATGGCAAAAAATTGGAATCCTATTATATAACAGGTAACTTCGTAATATATTTTTATTATACTTATCGGAATTAAGATGCGAATACCAGTGATCGTTTAAAAATTTATGAAGTCACTAGTTATTGATATGGTATAATTTTTTTCATTACCATATATGCTCAATCACAAAAATAGATTTGATTAAAGGTGGTTTCATGCCGCATGTCGCAAGTTTTAAGCCTTGAGAATTCATTAGGTCAACATAATCCAACCTCTGATGATGTACTACTTATGACTTGTATATTAAGACTGGTACATTAATCTACCCTGTTTCCTACTATATGAATTTTCTAAAAATATTTCTGAAAAAGCCAATCCGTTCAAGATATGAATTGATACTAAAAATTCAAACTCTTTTAGTGTAGGGAAATTACAGAGGAAAAACTAAACTATTATAATTATCTATAGAATCCTCAAGTAACATTTCAAGTACCAAGAATTTTCATGAACCCTTATTAACACTACTGTTTTCGCAATAACAAATCCATAACTCTTTCACAGTAAACTGATGTATACTATTAATTTTTTGGATATTTGTTTGGTATTGTCTCCCTTATTTTTTTATCTGTATCAGTGACTTTCCAATGGCGGTACCGAGCAGTGAATTGATTCTTTTTGCTGATGGTACGAGTATGAATGTCTGTTTTCTTCAGCTTGTTGTGACACTGAATTGAACTTCACTTACAACATTCGTTGAAGGAAATACGCCTATTTCTGTTGAGGAATTTTCAGAAGTGTATTTTTTGAGTTCTGAGAAAAGATATGAATTACTTTCTGAAACATCAACCATCTATGGCAAGCTGAATATACAATGCGTCCAAACTAAGGAGGGCCAGTATGTAAAAATTGGAAACTGTAAGAGATTTATGTTGCACTGTTTGGAACCTTTGGTGTAGTAATGCATATTACTGGAGTTTTTTCCCAACACCAAATCGTTATTTTTAACACCTCTTGTATAGCGAAACATGTGTTGCGGTTTTTGTAAAACCCTTTAAAGTGAAAATCATACAATATACTGTATTAATTAGTTTTTTTTATTCAACTGTTTTTATTTTGAGATCTTTACCAACTTTTTCTTTCACAGATCCTGCTCATGAGAAAATACTGCTTGCTTGTCCCCCAGAAGAGGTCCTTTTTGTGAATGCTCTTTTTATGAGGAAGATAGTAATTCAAAGAAGGGAATTCATATACCAGGCAATTTGGAATTTTGTCCAGAATGGCATGGAAACAGTAGAGGACTCAGTGTTGGTTCCATTGTAAAATTTGCACAAAATATTTTGGTCAGGCAGCTGACTGGAAAATGTTCGAAAATAAGTGATATTGACAATACAAATGTCTGTTGTGAAATATGCTTACTTTCAAGTTTTCATTATTCTTCAATGTAAAACTGCTTAAAAATTTGGAGTTTACAAGACTAAACACATTCATCCCCTTCAATTAAAAATGGTGTCTTGAAAATTTATGAAAGAAAAAGATATAATTGTAAATTTTGCACCAAAACCCACAAAATAGCTTTCACACAAAATCAAATTGTTGATACGGTTTGTCTCTAATAACACTTTACGCTCATTTTCTTTGAAACGTTTGTATAGCAGTTTGTTCAAGGTTTTGAAAGTTTTGCCACCATATATTTTAATAATATAATTAATGTCTTCATTAAAAAGTATTTCTCCATTTTGTTCTTCAGCCATGCTGCGTCAAGTAACTTCTGATGCTCATTAAAATTTTTAATAAAATTATTCTTCCTGCTGAATAAACTTGTAAGGTAAATTGTTGGCTGGTTTGAAAACATCAGGTGCTAAAACCATCAATACCACTAACACATCAATGTCTTCTGCTACAACATTTTGGAAGTTGACAATTGGAGCCCAAAAACAACGCAGCAAACAAATGCGATAACATTGCCCTTCTTTACTCAGGCTTCTTCTTCAAGGATAGTCGAGTCCAGCAATACATTTGTGGTTCAGCCTAGAACCACTGATGAAACCAATGGCGGGTCGAAACAGCGCTGTCTAGTGTTGAATAATATATGTGTTGTGTTTGGGCTCTAATTTTCAACATTCAAGAATTGAGTTTGCACCTTCTCATTTATTCACATCATGGAAATTACTATATCTAGAACTGAATGTACAATTGAATGATTTATATTACTGCTGTCAATATTATTTTCTTCCAAATTTTCGCAGAGAAAACTTCAGGTACATAATTGAAGTATAACTTATATCTATGACATATTCAAAAACACACTTTGATGTGAGATTTCCACTTGACAGTTTACAAAACTTCGACACTTGTTTCGCTATACAATAGCATCCACTGGCATCACAATACTGATGGTGCTTTCATACAGCGAGGCACGTGTCGCGGTTTTGTAAATTATCAAGTGAAAATCTCACATTGAAGTGTTTTTTTTTTACTTCAGTTTCTTGCTTCAAAAACCATATTCTTGACCTAGCTATTTAATATATTCAGTTTGGGAATTTTTATCCAAAAAAAGAACATTCAGAACTGATTTTTTTACCGAACATCATGCACGTCGTTTAAGCATTGTGAGTTCTATCCTCGCTTCAAAAGTTTTCTGATTTCAAATAATACAAACGAATATTTTTTCAAACATCATGAAAATCGGAACTGTTTCGGATGACTTTTGAGGACTCTAGGAAATTTCATTGTAAAACGTAGCCCAACTTTTGCTGAAAGTATACATCATAGAACACAAACCTATGAAAAACCCGTTTCATTGTAAAATACATGAAAATAATGGTTAATTTGAGGATTCCTAAAAGAACACTCTCATTGTAACTCTTGAATAAATCTTTCACGATATTGTAACTTGGAAATTTATGAAACAACTGGGGATACATCCTTCCATTTTCAATTTTGCGCAGTTTTGTGCAAATTATACAGTGAAGGGCTTTTCTCCAGTATGAGTTTTTTTATGAATTTCCAAGTTAACATACTGAGTGACAGATTTTGTCAAGAATTTACAAGGAAAGTGTTGGTTTGTACCTTCTTTCCGGAACTCTCAAATAATAACTTGAATTTTTTGTTAGAAATTTTACACTGAAATGGTTTTTCGTCAGTATGTGTTAATTGAATATTTCCATGCAAACGATTGGGTTTACGTTTAACACTGAAGTTTTGAAATCTGGGTAAAGCCTTGAAAGTTCATGAAAGACCTTTCATAAATTTCTCAAGTATTTACCGAGTCATTTTACAAATTTTATTGTAAAATGTGAACTCAACCTTATGCTTGAAAAAGATCATGAAAATATTCAATTAACACATACTGACGAAAAACCATTTCAGTGGGAAATTTCTAACAAAAAACTCTAGTTATAACTTGAGAGTTCCGTAAAGAACGTACAAACTAACACTTTCCTTGTAAATTCTTGAAAAAGTCCGTCACTCAGTATGATAACTTGGAAATTCATAAAAAAACTGACACTAGAGAAAAACCCTTCACTTTATAATTTGCCCAAAACTTCGCATAATTGAAAAAGGAAGGGTTTTTCTGCAGTTCGCAGGCTCTCATCGAAAACAATTTTCAAGTTTTCGAAGCTAGTTTTCTATAAATTTCATTGTAAAATGTGCCCAAAATTCGAATTGAAAAGGTATCGCAAAAAATCTTGGAAGTGATAAACTGAAAGTTCCTGGAAAAACTTTAGAAAAAATCTTCTTTTGGTTGGGCATGAACAATGTGTAATAAAACATGTTTCTTTAGTAGTATAAGTGAGTTGAAATTTTTTTGCGAAATATTTCGTAGATACATGTATTTCAATAGTAATAAAATTTATCAATCCAATATATAGAATTTTCTTTTGGGGTCTATAAAACGAAGAATTGTGTCTATTTTTTTTAAGGGAAAAAAGCAAAGTGATGAGTATCTGAGCCTAAGAATAGGGATAACAAATCGCTATCCAAGTTTAAATAACCGCTTTTAAAGCCCAAAGTACATGTGGCAATGCCTGAAATTTTCTGAAATTCTTCAAGTAAATCATGCTCACCAAGCACAATAAACAGAGTGAAGAGGAATTTCATCCCAAAACCAAAGATAACTCTTCAACACTATGGAAGAGATCTCACGTAAAAAAGATATTCCATATTTTGGATACTCAATTCCGATTCATGAAAAAAGAAAAATGTTATCAAGGAAGAATTACTGGAAGTCGAATTAGCTAATGAAAAAAAGAATATGTAGACTTTTGAACTATTTTTTGCATTGAATATATCACATCACACACCAAACTTTAACTTGAGAAAGTTGTTACAATGTAAATCAATGGGAGCAATCATACACCATATACACACATCGGAAAAGTCTAGGGATATTTTTATAACACTAAATATCATAAAAATAAATGCATGAGGTCGTTTAATTTCGATTANTCAAATATCCCTAGACTTTTTCGATGTGTGTATAATAAGTGCCGAGATGCTTGTAGTAGGAATATAAATATTTGTTATTTGTAGGTACAATAGTTGAATTATAGTGGTACTTGACAGTTCCCACATGGAGAAAAACCTAGTTTTACCGTTAGTATATAAAAAATATCCAATGATAATCTACACGTTTTCGTTAATATATTTCTTTTCCTTTAACGATGAGATTGGAACCTTTGGTGTGAAAGTTGAATAACCTTTTTCGAGATCAATTGCCCTAACAGCAAACTGATATTTTTGCACTCGACGCGCGTTTCGCCAACAAAGTTAGCATCCTCAGGAGAAGAAAATTGAAGTCTAGTCTGGTTAATCCTTATATACTAAAATTTGTTACCTGAGACAAGGACCACAGAATTGGTGAAAACAATCTGAAACTGATTAAGCATGTGCATGACACCAGGCTACTCGATGCATGAGAGAGTCTAGAAATAGATGAATGTTTTTTCTTATAATGTTATCCAGATTTGGTACTGAAGAGCTGATGAGGCATTGTGTAGGAATCCTTTGAATGATATCTGATTCAATTCCATAATGGATATTTGGAATACAAACTGAATAAATGAAAGTGTGTTTCCAATAAATTGATGGATGTAGCCGTTACTACGTGGTAGGAAATCATAATGATTTAGACCACATGCCAGGTTATCTGATTCCCTTTTCAATGCCAAAGATAAGGTTGACAAGTTGGAGAAATCTGGAGTTTATAAGCTTAAGTGTCTGGGGATTAATAGTGTTTATGTGGGACAATGTGGTCGAAATTTTCAAAAACGGTATGCCGAACATGAAAGGTCCTTCAGACTAGAAAAAAATAATTTGACGTTTTCAAACCATTCCTTGGTTTCCGAATCTAAACGATACGGAAATTTTGCACTATGCAAGGAAGGGTTGCAAACTCAATTATTTAGAATCCTTGGAAATTCACAAGCATAAACATTGCGGCTGCAACCTGTTAAATGATGAAATCGATTTAGTTTACTCACCGGTTTATAAATTGGCTCATCCGCATTGTAAATTGTAAATTCAGGTACTCAATCAAGACAAGTACCTCTATTAGTACCTACAGGGGTGGTGTATAAGGGCTAATGTAATGAACCATTGTTAGTTTAATGTATAAGTTTGAAAATGTCCGTATAGGACGAAACTGCAGTAACGTTAGTTACAAATAAAAGTGGCAAAAAACATACAAAGTTTTAATTCTCTTTTCTTCGAAAATGTTTTTGTATAATTCATGTAAAAGTTGTTGTTTCCAAGATATTTTTCTTTCGTGTAATTCAGTATTTATATGAAAGTAGTTTGACACTTTTTGTCTGGAAGTTACTTTTTTGCATGATCTAAACATCTTTGTATAGAGTATTTTTTTTGAAATTGATTGCTTTCTTCTTTCTTTGGAAGATTCCCACATTTTTTGTATTAAGATGGAGGAGTAGAAAGCAAACATTTTTTTTTACCATTTTCTATACACTAGAAAGCAAAAAATGTTTTTTAAAATAATCTCCATTAAAGGTAGAACTTGAAAGTCAGTATCATTTTGGTGTGTGGAAGCAGTGTTTGTGTCTGAATAATATATAGACGAAACCATGTTTTTGTTAATAATTAAATATCTGATTCGTTACGTTCATGTTTGGATTTGAATCTTTCCTCAGGCTCAGTTGTCAACACCCTTTCCGTAAAATCTGTGGAAAAAAATACAGAAACCGATTTCTGATGAAACCTATGGATGGTGTCCTCTCCAAAGGGAATAGAAGAGAATTCCCAACTGCTGATGAACACAGCAAAATATAATTAATCAAACCCTGTATAACTTTATGAGTTCAAAGGTTCTCGCAGAATTGCAGTTTCCATGTAGCAATTAAAATGAATAAAGTGGACGATAACATTTTCTCAATGAATTCAATTATAATGAACGACTGATAAGCAAAATGTTACATTTTAACATTTGATAAAATTTACGATTCATCAATTTTTTGGGAGTCTTCTACAATTGTTTGAAAATAATTGAATTCAGACAGAGGTGAGACACGTGAAGATTTCGTTTTGTCTACCCATGTCCATTGTTATTACAGACTTTACAAAATGTATTCTTCTACACAGGCGCAAACACACCTCGGAGTAATTGTTATTTGTGTCTGCGTTCGATATCGAAGCTTGGCTTTGCAACTAACCGCTTTGGGGAGCCTCATTTTGATATTCGTTGAATTAGTTTTCTGTCGATCCCGTAGATGGCGCCATCGTGGAAGTGGATGTCATAGCTTTAACTTAATCTAAATAATGCTCAGGAGAACATTCAATAAAGAACCTAGTTACAAATTAATACAGGACACAGGATTGTTGGGTTTTTTCCAATTAATGTTTGGAAACTCTCAATAAGCCCATGATGCTGAAGTGTTTTCTAGAGACTTGAAAGAAATGGACGATTTTCCTTCTCCCAAATAGTAAAAACCACGTGATAATTTTTGAGAACATCGTGTATGTCACCCTTGGAGGCCTAGCAGGGCTGTCAACTGTGGCAACCGTACCACCCTAATAACTAAATTAATTGAACTTGGTGTTGAAGGAGTTGCCCTGGAAAGGATGAAATCTTATCTGCACAAACCTGGCCATTATATAGTCTTCCAGGGGTAACTGATTAAACAGTGGCCACCTGTGATTCAGATTTTTTGTAGGTATTCCTCAAGGACCAGTAGTGGGCCCAATATTGTTTCTAATATATGACATCGTTAGAGCTAACTCATCCATACATTTCGCATTGTATGCTGACGACACGCCCATACTAATATCTATGACTGGTTCTGCATGAATTCATTGCATCCAAATGCAGAAAAAACTCAATCAATACGTTTTCATAAGAGGCGAAAATAACTGATAATGTAAAAGACTAACATGTGCCATCTTCGAGGAATAATCTTTTATATAGGTCACCCACTGTGACTGGACAAAGGGTACTTGTGGTGCACTGTTTGGAACCTTTGGTGTAGTAATGAATATTACTGGAGTTTAATCCCAACACCAAACCGTTATCCCAACACCTAGACACGTGTTTTAATCACCAAGTAAACATCTTCAAGAGGTAGCTCAGCTTCAAGAGGAAGACTAAACAGTTCAATCTTGAAGATGATCACTTGGTGATCGAGACTCGTATCGAGGTGTCAAAATAACGGTTTTATGTTGGGATTAAACTCCAGTAATGGACAAAGGGTGTTCACTAAACTTCAGGCCGAAATTAAATCATGTGTAGTGTTGAAAGCATTCACACAATGTCTTAGAAAGTACCTGTTAAAAGGTGGATTTCACTCCTTGGAGTAAATTGGTTAATTGGCTACTGTCTTTTGACATACCTACATGTTTCTGCATGTCACTGAGATAATAAAGTATTATTATTATTAAATCGAACTGAACCAGCATGTGGGTGGTTTCAAGCATCTAATTGCTCATTGAAGTACCTAATTTTTCATTGACTTACTTAATGAGAAGAGCTTTTTTTCAGCAAGAAAGATTCAGCAGAATGATATTAAGATGTCTGTGGAAGTCAAAATTGAATAAAGTCCATAAAGACTTAAATATGTGAATCTCTGACAATGTCAATCGATGTAGAAAATGGTTGATAGAGTGAAATATTTTCAATTCGACTCATTTTTGAGACATAATTTTTCCCAAAATATAAGTCGATAAATAGATTTGGCTTCCGTCATTAATACATATTACTTAATGAAGTTGATGATCCGCGTCTAGCACATTCATCAGCTTTATCATTACCTGTGATTCCTGAATGCCCTGGCACCCAGTACAAAGTTAATCTGTTCCTGTTTGCAAGTTCATTCAGTTCTTCATGGCATTCCCAGACCAGTTTTGATGTCACCTTCGGGTTTGTCAGAGCCCCTGGTTCGCTCTTGATGTCTGTTAAATTATTGATCCGCTCATTTCCTTGAGGTCTCAATTTACTAACCCTTGCACACTGCAAGATAGCAACACTTACGCCTGAAAGACGGATGTGTATAGTCCTAGCTGATAACTGTAGCTTAACTTTCTATCCGCTCGGTATACTCCCGCTCCCGTTCCATGGTTGGTCTTCGATATTTTTGGGATGACTAATGGTCGTCCATTCTTCATGGCTTATGATTTTAGCCGTGAAGTTTGTGTTAAAGGTGTACTTCGGTGTCATGTGGTCCGTGCACATATTCAATATGTGCTCCTACACATGTTCCGAAATTTCTGTTCGGTCCAATCTTTTGTAGTTCGGAGTTTTCCAGTCTGAATTGGCCCATCCTGGCCTCCCCCATTATCACAGAGTGTAAAGGAGTTGAAAGTCTTAGAAATATCAAGCGCAACAGCTCTCAACTCTCCATGTTTCTGGATTGCGTTATTCCAAATAAGGGTGACATACGATATCTTTGTTTCCGAAAGTCATATTGATGATCGCTCAAGGTGTTGAAGCCTTCCAAATATTCAAGGATATGGTGGTTTATGGCTTTCTCCATGATTTTTGATATCCCTGATAGCAAAGCGACTGGTCTATCGTTATTTGGAAGATTTTTCTTACCTTTTTTGGAAAATTTGGAACGTGAGAAGAAAACCCCTTTCTTGTAAGCCTCCAAAATACTGGTGCGAGTTCATTGGCAAACTTTGATTGATCAAAACAGTGAATATTAGTTTCACGGTTTTGGGAATTATTTTCTTTTAATATAATTTCCGCTCCTCAAAGTTTTTTTCCAAGTTTTCAATATCCGCCGCGATAGTTTTTGAAATTTTTGCAAAAATGAACACCATTTGAAAGGTGTATATTTTTAGGAGAAGTTAATTTTTTTACTGAATTTTTTTATACTAAAAATGAGGAATCACGAATCGAATGACACCTTGACCATGATGTTCGATGAAGGCAAACTGAAATTATGTGAACTAGACTACTATAAATCAAAAGCTTTCCTCCTGAGCATTGCTCAGGAATTGTACAACGTCCAATCGCCCTACTCGTTCATAATTTTTTGGCCAAAAACATGCCTCGGCCACCGTATTCACCAGATTTGCTCTCCTGCGACTTTTTTGTGTTCCCAAGATTGAAGAGACCTATGAAAGGACGGCGTATTGCGACGATTGATGAGATAAAAACGAATCGCTGCGAGAGCACGAGGACATACCAAAAGAAAAGACAGAACTTCTTGAAGGATTGGAAAAATCGCTGGTCCAAGTGTATTACATCTGAAAGGGACTACTTTGAAGGGGCCAAAATAGAAATTGATGAATAAATGAATATTTTTTTCGAAAAAGGAAAATTCACCTCATTTTTTGTACAGACGTTTTTATGTGTATCTGTTTCAGTTCCACTACGGATGTTTTGATTAAAAACTGAGTTAGAAAAGGTGATTAGTTATTCTGGAAGGATTTTTTCTTCCGTTTTGTATCTGAAAGAAATTTCTGTGCATCATCTGCACATATTTTTCATATATTTGTCGTAAGTTTTCAACTTTTTAGTTTTTTTGGAGAAGTAGCTAGCAAAAGGTTAGTTTTTTCCTTAGAAATTATCGTATAATTTTTAAAAGTAAAATCAAAGCGAATTTAATAAAGTTATCGCTTTCGTATGTACATTTCAATCTTCATATCAAAACCGCGAATTCTGCAAAAACTTATCAGCCTCTCAATGTATATAAACTGGACGATTGCCCATGATCTTCACATTTCGTCGACTCAATTTGTGTCTACAACATGAAGTCGAAAATTGTCTTCTTCCTCCTAGGTAAGTCCTTTTCTATACATAATTAAATTGACTATTTTTTGAAGTAGCGAAATTGTTTGGGGTTTCCGTGTATCGATTTTATTTTAACTTTATTCAGTATACTATAAATTTCTAGAATTTTCATCTTCTTCCATGTGATGTCAATTTCCAAAATTGTACCTTTCTTATAATATTGCACCACTATTTTTAGAAATACTTCCATTTGCATAAAAAATACTTCGTTATATGATTATGATGTCTTGATTATTGTTAGTTATCATTCGATAAAGTTGAACTGATTTACCCACAAAACAGAAAAGATTTTCTGATAATTAACTCATGTGCGAGGTCTTACCTTTTAAGGTGTGATTCCTGATATTTGTCTTCAACAATATTTAGAAATAATTAGATTCATCTTGAATTACTCTGGAAAATATATTCAGAACATTCATATTACCTTTTTTCTTTAAAATTTTCTGAACAAAATGTAACACGAGTAATGTTCAATAGAACAGATTGACAGAAGACAGTAAGTACATGTTGAAAAAAAAAGGACAATTCTGCATAAAACTTTTTTAAATAGAAATTGAAAAACAAGTGAAGAATTTCTCATTCAGCTTGTGAGAAAAAATATTTCAATATTTGAAGGTATTTATTTCTTTTCTGAACTGAAAAACTGCAGATGGTTGAGGAAAAAAACTGACATGTTCCTGCTGTCATAAAACCGAATTTTTACGTGAAAAGGTGACAAAACTTTACATGCTTGCTTATAATTTGGTGAAAAATTCAGTGAAAAACTGCTTTATCATACAAAATATTCTGCTGTCAGCTGTCATCTTCGAGGTATAGTCGAAGTAACCGATATAGTAATCTTAAAGGTGTCGGCGAAGTTAAAGGCCTAAAAAACCAATACAAAGGAATTATACCGCAACGAATTAGTCCACGTGGACTGAATACACTTCCTTAGTGCTTTTGTTTTCTCCTTAAATAAATGTTTTTTTTTTCCAAGCAATCTTCACTTGATAATGACCATAATGGAGTTTCATAGTCTTGATTATTTCGTTTCTTTGTTTCTAGTGGGCCTCGTCTGTGGACATCCTGGAACATCCTATGACACTCCAGGTTGGGAAAACGACATAGAATATATCTACAAAGTCAATGGACGAACATTAGCTAGGCCATATGAGACATCAGATCAATATTCTGGTATCTTGATAACCGCAAACCTCAAAATCCAACCAAAGTCCGATGGAAAATTGCAAGGTTTGATTTCGGAATCCAAATACAGCCACGTTCATTCAAAATTACCTCATGGGTTTAACAGTTTCATTCCTGACTCTGAACTGGTTTGGAGACCTTTGGATTTGTCTTCGAAACCTTTCCAGATTGAAATGGAAGCAGGAGTCATTACTGACCTCATTGTCAGCAAAGACATGTCAGAGTGGCAAGCCAACATCTTGAAAGGAATTGTGAGCCAGTTCCAACTGAATACCAACGCCAGAAATCCATCTTCCGGTTTCCAGCAAAGCTTACCAGACGGCGAGAAAAATTCTGCTATTTTTGTAACAATGGAGGACACCGTTTCTGGAAAAACATCGACTCTGTATGAAATCAGACCAATACCTAAACACGTGGTTCAGTACAACAAACAAGAGTCCAAATATCTGGATTTCGTAGGTGATGGTGAAGTTATTGAAGTTGTTAAACACAAAAACTACAGTGAACACATGGAACTTCCCTCATACTTTTATGGATTTGGAGGTATGGAATTATTCAGAGAATCTGCAGGAAAAGCCGCAACAAACAGTATGGGCCGCTTCATCACCAGAGATACCATAAGCCGCGCCGTACTTACAGGTTCATTGAGGGAGTACACCGTACGTTCTTCTGTAACTACAAATAAAGTTTTCGTGAGTCCTAACATGTACGAAGCACAGAGAGCGTCAGTAATCAGCGTCATGAACGTCACCTTTGAATCTATGGGAGCTCCGACACAAAATATCCCAGAGGTACCTAGACCCGTGAGGCTTGGTAACCTGGTGTACACCTACACCACTCTTTCCCAAACTGATGGAGTTCACGAAAAACAACCCTACTACAAATCCAAAGATTTTGAATCGGAGTATTCCGCGAGCAACTTTTTGGCTAGAGACAGACGAGATGGTGAAGAATACCATGAAAAAGACTATAAAAGCTACAAACTTACGAAACCAAAGTTGAGTGAAGCACCACGAAATCCCTTCCAGCCCTTCTCATCGGGATTCAAAGGAAAGTCTATTAAAGAAAAAATAAATGTAGTAGAGAGTGTGCAAAAGTTGGCTAGGGAAATCGGCAATAGCGTTGAGAATTCAGGAAGTAGCGAAAACGAAAAAGACCTAGATAAATACGTGATGCTGATCTCCCTGATAAGGATAATGAATTTCAATGAAATTGAATCTACAACTAGTGCCCTTTATAGTAATGCTGAGCAAGGTCCGAAACGAGCCACTTGGAGCATTTATAGCGACGCAGTCTCTCAAGCAGGCACTGGACCCGCTCTGCTTTGCATCAAGCACGCCATCGAAACCAACAAGCTCAAAGGGGAAGAAGCCAGTTCTGCCATTTCCACCATGGCTAACGCCATTCGTGAACCAACTCTGGATTACTTGAAGGATTTCTTCGAGCTCATCAAAGCACCCCAAGTTCAGTCAGAGTGGCCTTTGAACGACACCGCTCTGTTGAGCTTCACTGACCTCATTCGTCGGGTATACTTTGAAGAGCAGTTCTCAGACAATCAGTACCCTGTGAAGACTTTTGGCAAGTTCAGAAGCAAAGAAGGAGAGAATTTCGTTGAAGAGGAAGTCATTCCATACCTTAGAACTCATTTGAATGAAGCAATTGCTCAGGCTGAAACTCACAAAATCCATGCTTTCATCCGTGCAATAGGCAACACCGGTCACCCCTACATTTTAACTATTTTCGAACCATACTTGGAAGGTCGCAAACAAATCTCTCAATTCCAACGATTTCTAATGATAATTTCTTTGGAAAAGCTTGTGATGACTCATCCAAAACTCGTACTGCCTGTTCTCGTTAAAGTGTACCAGAATCCCGGGGAAACTCCAGAAGTACGAATGGCAGCGGTGTATCAAATCATGCGTTGTTCCCCAAAACCAGAAGTTCTCCAAATGATGGCTTCGTACACTAACACTGATCCTCAAGAACGAGTTAATGCCGCTGTCAAATCTTCAATTGAAAGTGCAGCTAGATTAGAAGGGCCCGAATTCCATACTTTGTGAGTATCAATTTATCATTTCAAAAACTTGTATTTGCCAAAGAGAAACGGCTTGATTTAGAATTCTATCATCTGTACACCAACCGTAGTCTCTTATAATTAGATAGCTATAGTCTATATAACATATAGATTAGACGAAAATGATTGCGCCCAATGGAATGACTTTCAGAGAGGACTGTTTCGGATGATTGAAACGAAATATGTCAGGAAAATTTGTGCTTTGAATAAGAAACTCAAAACTCTTATATCTAAGAATAAACCAAAAGAAGCCACTCCGAAAGTCATAAACATTGTCGGAAAACATTCATCATAATCGTTTGATAAGGAAGAGATCAACCCTTGAACAACGGTTTAAAATTTGGCACACCGTCTTCCGAGAAAGTCCTTGAGGATATCGTTGCTGGTGTTGAGAGTTCGATTCAATATATGCCCGATTCCTCGCATGGACTAGTTCGAGAGAAAGTCACGAATCAAATATCCAGGAACCTGCAAACAGATAAACCGAAACATTTAATAAATGACGCTGAAAACCAAAAGAAACTCATCAAGCGATTGAAAGACAAAGACGTCTTTCAATTGAAAGCCGACAAAGGTAACAAAATAGTAATTCTGGATAAATCGGACTACTACGAAAGGGTCAATACTCTCATTTCTAACGGACTGCATAACAAATTGTCCAGGAACCCGTTACCAAATATGATTGCCGAAGTTCAAGCCGTCCTCAAGATATACGACAACATACTTACCCCTCAACTGAAACGCAACTTACAAGTTTCCAACCCAACGGTGTCAAAACTATATTGCCTCCCAAAAATCCACAAACCGTCAGTTTAGTTTAATCTTCCTCTTGAAGATGATCACTTGGTGATCGAAACAAGTGTCGAGGTGTTAACATAAAGGTTTCGTGGTTTGCATTCCAACTTGAAACCATATCATGAAAATGTATTTCGTAATTGAATTAATGAAATTTCAAGGCTTTCCTTGTGAAAAATATTACATACTTTATGTTCTGTTCTTATCATTGCGCCATATTTTTCAGGAGCTACGCAGCGCAAACTGCTTTGCCTCTTCTAACTAAAAAAGTGTATAACCTGCAGTTTGGAGCTAACCATCTTCGCAGCTATGTCGACGAGGAGTTGAAAATGTCATACAAGCAGAATGCTCAGAGTTTCGGAAGCGACGACGCATTATTGCCAAAAGGTTTCAGATACACATTACGAGAAAATTTGAACGGTATGAAAACCAGATTGGGAAATGTTCAGTCATTCGTATCAAGTACCGAAGAGTTACTACATGTATTTGCTAAACACTACGCTAACTACGAACGAAAAGAGAAAGAACAGGAGGAACAATTCCCAGTGCAACAACGGTACCCCTGGTCCAGCGCTTACATAAACGATATTCTGTACCTTAAACCAGCAGAACGTGAACAGCTCGAAGGAACTCTGTTGGCACAAATTGGTTCTTACTACAGAATGTTTTCTTTTGACAACTTGACTATTGCCCGATTCCCTGAAGGTGAGTATCCGTATTTTTCAATGCAGGCAGTTGATAACTCTATTTCACTTCGCAGCTATCCGCGAATTGGAGGAGAAACTGAACAGAGGCATGCACTTTGACAGGATCAATGTGATGAACGACAGAGAAATGACCGTTTCCTTCCCAACTGAAATGGGTGTGCCTTTCATTTTCACACGTGATGAACCTATCATGATGAAGGTTCAAGGAAAGATCTCCGCTGTTTCAACCCCCAAATTGTACCAATCAAGCGGAAAAGTTTCCAAACCTGACAGTGTACGTGTGAGTGCAGATATGAGTATCAGTGTTTCGAAAAAGATTCAGAGCCGTTTGATAATTACTACACCTTTCGACAGCCATCAATTCATATCTGGGTACGACAAACATTCTCAAGTATACTTACCTGTTGGTGGTAACCTAGAAATTGATATTAAGAACATGGAAACTCGAATGGAACTCGTACCCAAGAAAACTGAAAGTGAATGCAATCTCTACCACTACGCGACTTGGCCTTATACCTCGAAGAGTGAAATTGTCAACTTGGAACCACTATCTTCTCAGTCCAATACAAAAGTCATCAAACCAGACGAATATATTTACAATTATGAGAGCAAATTCGGAAAGAGAGAGACTGGAATGGTATTCAAAGTTGAAATCCAACACGAAAGAGGCTTCCTGAACAGTGCTTCTCTTTGGCAACTTCTCACTCAAAGAAACTTCATATCTGGCATGTCCAAATTGTGGAATGACAACACTATTCAATACAGCAGGATCGCAGTATCATACCTTCCAAAAGAATCCCCCATTCGCAAAGCTGTTCTCCGTTTGGGATACAAACAGCAATACACATCCGAAAGTGAGCCTGAACTGTACTCAAAATTCAGTTTGGATAACTACAGCAAATCCTCTGACCGTCAACAGAAAATGATTGAGATAGTTTCAGCGGGAATCGAAAAAGTGATGGCTCGCTCCATCGATGTTTCCGCAGATTTTCACGGAGATCACACCATGAAGTACGTTCTCACCGGAGCTGTTGGTAAAAGTAACATGGACCCCAAATCTCGCATTATTGTCTCTTACAAGAACAGCTCTGACAGCTTCTCAGCGGGATCGTATGAAGTCCATTTTACTGCTAAGAGCTACATACCAAATACCAACGCGCTCAACATGGATTATGCTTTTGATACTGAACCAGTCGCCGATACAGATGTGGAGTTCAGATTTGGACCATCCCAAGAACCTTTCTCTAAAATCGATGTTCAATTCAGACTCCGCAGGAGTGAAGAACGTAAACAGTACTTGAAAAAACTTCCAATGTACAGCCAATGTAGGAAAGAAATGAAGAATGGAAATTACCAAATGCCAGTTTGTGTTAATATGACGATGTCTGCTAATCTTCTGGACAATATCACCATGCACGTTGTGTCCAAAAACTTGAAGCCAGAATCACAAGAAGCGATCGTCACATTGTACGAAGCCATACGGTTCTACTACCTTCCAAATCTTAGAATATCCAGAAGGCAATCATCGCTGAGCCCCCATGAAGTTATGATGAAAGCTCGATTCCATCCTGATTTGAAATTCGTCAACGTCTCCATAGAAACCCACACTCAAGAATCTAACATCACAAACATTCCAGTTAGTGAATTAGCCAGGAAAACATTCGTTTCTCATCCAGTATTCCACCTAAAGTCCCGTTACATGAGCCACTTTTTCTCCAACGGATACTTCAGACGTAAGTTTTTGAAAACTTAAGTTATTATGACAATTTCATTGAGCATTTCTCTCAGTTCAGTTTATTGAGAACTGCTATTCAAAATGAATTATTATTTTCACATCGTGAGTAATACAATGAGTAAGAAAGAAGTATTTGCATTGAAAACTCTCTTCTATGCAAAGGTGTTGCCAGTTTTTTCAATTCTGTTAGCACCACACAAGTAATGGTAGTATTTTCCTTGGTACTCGAGGAAAATATTATGGTTTATCGAAGAGAAGGAGTAGAAACAAAACTATTTCATTTGAGTTTGTTGTGTCTTGACCTCTACAATTGAAAATTTGCATAGATATTCCTCTAACCAGTATTATTTTTCAGCAATGTGTGTTGTTGACAAAAGCAAAGTGGTGACCTTCAGTAACCTAACCTATCCAGCCAAAATCTCCAAACATTGGACTGTGATGCTCCAGTACGTTCCCAAAGAATCCCGCCTTGAACCACAACATACCATCGAAACACAGCTGAGGTCTCAACTTGAAAACTATGCTGTTCTTGTTCGTCAGGATGCTGATTCGTCCAAGAAAGACTTCAAGATCACCGTCAGTTCACCGAAAACGAAATTCAGAGTAGTTGATATTGAACTGAGAACCAAAGCTCAACCAAGAGCTTCAGAACCAAGAGTGCGAGTGATAATCAATGGAAAAGATGTACCAATAAACGAAAATGAGAGCTACGACATGCATGAGAACTACATTCAAATCTATGCTTTACCAAACAGAGAAGTCAAGGTGGAAATATTGAATGCATTCTACATGGTTTACGATGGCGAACGAGCAAGGCTTTCTATCACTGACAACAAATTCAAGGACTCCACTCGGGGACTGTGTGGACAGTTCAACCAGCAGAAAAATGAAGATTTCCTCACGTCCGAAAACTGCATTGCTCGAGATCCCTCAAAGTTCGTCAAGAGCTTCGAAGCTGAAGGAGAGGAAGGAAAGAAAGTAAGGGACGAATTCTCGCAGAAAACAATGCAGTGTGTGGACAGAGAAATTCCGTCATATGTTGACGTAGTAAGCAATGATGTGGGTTATTCGAGTTACTATTCTAAATCCTCTATCCACCACTCTAAATGCACAGTTTTCCAGACAAGATACGTTCAACAGAATGGAGACATTTGTTTCACGATCCGCGCTTTGCCAGTTTGCAGCAGTCATTGCCACGCCACCGGCTACGTCAGCAAAAATGTACCTGTTCATTGTGTACACAAGTCACACGTTGCTGAGTTGTGGAAGTCTCAGATCGACAAAGGATCCAGCCCTGACTTCTCTAACAAGGAAGAACATAAGTCAGTCTCTGTGAGAGTTCCCCAAAATTGTTCACAATAGATCGTTATGTATAATGTTATCCAATCGAATATATATACAACATGTACAATTTTTAACTTAAGCGCAATCAAAAAATGTAAAAAAAATAAAAAATAAATTACTGATTCAAGTAATACGTATGTTTTTTATTCTTAGTCATAATGCAAATTGTTGAATTGTCCTCATTGCAAAGAAATGAAAGTAGTATGGGATATACTCATAAAAAAGTGGTGAACCAAGTGAACATTGATACAATTTCAATTGTGTGAATCACGAGTTTTTGATTCTGAAGCTAAAGCATATCTGATCCATTTATAAATGGGCTGTAAAAAGTTGAATCATCTGAATGTCTCTCTGGAGATGCATCAAATTAATTTTATTTCATCCAAACTGAAACACTAGTTGCTGAAATGTATAGTCATATGAGTGCAATAATGGAATTTTTGAGTTGATTTTATATTTTCAGTATTTCTTAGTTGAATTTTTTCAAGACGTCGCTCATAGCAGATGAATGAGTTTTTAACAGAAAGAGGAAATTCATCTTTTGTAATGAGATGATGCAGTGGTTCTACTGAAAAACCGGTTAGTAGAACACGGTTTTCTGAAAACTGTTGAACCATACGTTGAACCTATGATGGAACAAATTCCAAAAATCCACGGCTTTCAAACTCGAAAAGAAATTACACTGAAAACCTCAGCCGTGAAAGTCTAAACCATTTTGTCAGTAACCTATGATTTTATTGTGGTGAGAGTGACAAGCAGGTGACGAGTTTGGATTTGAAATATTTCAACGGGTGATTGTCAAAAGGTACACCTTTACTTAAACTATATGTTTAAATTGAAAGGTATATCTTTAGGAGAGATTAATTTTTTGGCCTTCTACTCACATCTTGATGCAAAAAAAAGTGGGAATCTTCCAAAGAAAGGAAGGAAGCAATCAATTTAAAAAATTAACTCCATACATAGATGTGTAGATCATCCAAAGAAGAAAAAGAACCTCTCTAAACAACTATTTTCATATAAACAACTTTTCTCTATTCCGTTTGTCTTCCAAACATTCATATGGAATTGAATCAGACATCATTCACAGGATTCCTATACAATATAATAAATGAAAGAAGTAAAATGCCACTTACATAGAACACTGTCATCCTCACTGTTAGACATCCGGCACTTGCCTTATCGGTTCTTCCCACATTTTTTGTATCAAGATGGAGAAGTAGGAGGCCAAAAATTTTTTTTCTTTCTCAAATACTACATGTTGTTTTGAAAAAAAACAACAAACTTTGTGTACTTACAACTTTTTAATCTGGAGCAAGCTACTTTGAAAAGCATCATAAAACACATAAGTATGGAACAATATTTGGGAATGATTTTTTATAGCCGATACATAAAGAATCTCTGTATGAAAGAAGTACTGTATACAGTGCGATAAAATTTTTTAATTCTCTGCCACAGGATATAAGAGACATTGGGTTGGCCAGCGGTTTTCTGAAGTCTGTGAAAGAATTTTTATGCAATATAGAGCCTTATACTATAGATGAATATTTTATCAGTGTATGTTAAATTTTATCTTATCAACTCTATACTCATATGTGTATGTGACGCGTTGTATTCAAATTTTGTATCTTATTAATCTTTTGTAATTTTGTTCACTGACGTATTTCTCGGACAAAGTATTTCTTTTAACTTTTTTACAAGATTTACATATACTCTGTAGAAATAAATGAATGTCTATCTATCTATCTAAATGGACAAGTCAGACAGCTCCCAAGGAACCAAAAAAAAACCAGGTTCAATTCAATGCCATAAAAACCCAGGCTTCGGTTTTCTCCAAGAAGATAAACGTCTCCGAACCGGATAAAATAATATCAAGACAGACAATTCCGCTTTCTGCTTCGATAAGTTTGTTGGGGGTTAAAATGGACACCAATATGTCTTGGCATAACCATGGCGCTGGAATTGCAAAGACTGCTTCTCAAAAGCTTGGAACACTGTTCAGAACCAAAAAACTGTACACACCTCAGCAACTTTTGATGCTTTATAAAGCTCAGATCAGACGTTCTTCAGAGTATTGTTCTCATGTATGGAGCTCTGCCCCCAAACATACCCTGAAGTTGCTGGATTCCATCCAGAAAAGAACCATCCGCCTGATTGGAAACGCGAACATCACGTGCAACCTTGATAGCCTGGAACATCGAAGAAAGGTTGGAGATTTGTCTTCTATAAATACTTTCACGGGAGGTGTTCAAGGTGGAAGATCAAACTCATCTTCCTCTTGAAGATGATCACTTGGTGATCGAAACACGTGTCGAGGTGTTAAAATAACGGTTTGGTGTTGGGAAAAACTCCAGTAGTATTCATAACTACACCAAAAGTTCCAAACAGTGCATCTCAAGTCCACTAGATCTGCTTTGGTAAGCCGAGGTCTTCAATGTTGTTGAAAAAGACACCATCATCGACTTCTGTAGCCACAGGGGAAAAGTAATATATGAACTGGACTGGTTCTAACTCGGTGACAGAGTTGTTATAACTTCGTTCAGTGTTGCCTTGACGAGAAATGCTCCAATTCCCACTCTCTCATGATCACGAACCATGCAGAGAAGGGAATCTGAACTCCTGAAGACTTTACAGGCCATTCTGTCACGTAGACACTACAAACTCAAAAGTCCACGGCCTACCAATTGTCAGGGAAAGTATGAGTCCAGAGTATGTTGCATAAATGTCTGTCGGATATAATTCAATGTCCATCGTGATATCAGCCGGGGAAGTAGTTGTTTTTCGGCAGGTATTTACCAAAAACTACTGTGTAGGTGTATTTCTAAATGAAATTCATCTGATATCGATTCCTATCGCCATCTTATGCGAAAAAATGTAACCTTCAAATTCAAATAAAAACTCAAGAAGGGGATCTTTCGATTTACCTTCTAAAATCTTTGTAGAGGAAGTTGAAGATATTCAACATTGAAAAAATTTCGCTACCCACCAACAGATGGCGTAGGATATGTTCAAAACTTGAATATCTGAGAAATTGAGTGACTCAAAATCGAAAAGTAAATCGAAAATTTGAAAAATCATTTCTAGATGATTACATGCAACGTAACCGAGATTCAACAAAATTGGGAAAAAAATACTTTTCTACCTACTTTTTACTAACAGCGATGTGAAACAACAATGAAAACGGATTTTAAAAGTCCATGAATAATTCGCAAACATTTCTCACATAAATTCAGCAAAAATTTTGTACCTTCGATGATTTCCGAAGATTTCAATACTAAAAAATACATTTTTGAAAATGTATTCATTCTACAAACATCTAGACAAAACAGAACTCTGGTATAAACAAATCAAAAATACCCAGCATTGTGAGATGATTATAAATACGTCATCAAGTCATTACTAGATTGAAAAAGAAATATATAATGTTCACAATATACAAATAGAGATCTTGAAAAAAATTGTGAACTGTGTTTTCCTTTCGAACTTTAAATTAAAGTGTTTTCCATAACTTTTTTATAACTGTTTAACTGTTACTTCATATTTTCAGTGAATTTGTTTTTGATAACATAGTGATAAGTTATTGAATGCTATTTGGGGAGGTTCATGAGTTATTCTTGCCATTTTTGTTTTTCCATCTCCTTTGGATGAATTTTCTGGAACTACCTACGGTTCCCTTTCTCAAATCCTTAGGAAATACTCTTGATTGAAAAATTGTACACAATTTTGGTTAAATCAAAGATCTCTCGAAATAAAATGATTAGTTATTTGGAATTTTCTAAACATATGAGTCATCTTTGTAAAGCATCTTATAATATTCTCAGACGAATTTTTCCCAATAGAAACATTCTTCCTACTCAACTCAAACTTTGTGAAACTTGAATTTCTTCTAGATTACCGTATTTTCACTACATATATGGACCTGGGCTGATTATATACAGTGTGTAAAAGCCAAATGGAATGAATTCATTATTACGGTTACTATACATATTAAAAAAAATCCCGAAACACGTCAAACGTTTTTATTGTTGATATCCATATTCTGGTTTGCTTTCAAATAATAGAATAAGATTTTAAAATGTATCTTCCGTTTCGTTCAAAACTTTTTTCTGTACTAAATCACGGGCAGTTGAAAATATTTAAATATCTAAATATTTCATCTACAGTACAAAATTTCGCTAACACTTATAATTCTTAAAATCCAGTTTTTATATTGATTTTCTTTTGAACAACCTATCGAGGAGATTACGTACAGCGCCATCTGCCCGCGAATGGATTAAGCAATAATGTTGATGATTCTGTCAATACAGATCCCGAGCTTGAGAGTTACAAACAAACAGACAAACATACGAACATACATACATACAGGTGAAGCTAATATAAAGCGTGTAATAAAAAAATGTATAGCGATAAAATTTTTTAATTCTCTGCCACAGG